GAAACGTCCTTGCTGTTAATAGCTCGTTTCATCGGGCCCAAAAATCAGTCTTCCTCCGTGAGCTCGGCTAGAAGGTCCGCGTCGAATAAGCCTGGTAGTCCCACAATTTCTTTCCTTGACTTTGATACAATAGGTTTTCCACCATTGATTGCGTACACACCAACTTTATCAGCAAGTTGGACTCTCCCCGGTCTTGATAATCGGCACTTCTTCATAGCTTCCAAAAGCTGGTTGTGTCCCTCCCTTCTAGAGGCAGTTCTAGCAGCCACAAATCGGGTCTTCGCCGCACGCTCTCGTGTCCGATTACGTTGGCGCACCTGGTCCAGGCAAGAGATTCGTCCTACTTGACGAGATCTTACTGAAGGGCGCGGGCTCGGCCGACGAAAGTTAGGGGAACTCAAAGTGAAGTTTTCGACAAAAGAGAGAAGTTCTGCTTGATCCTCCATAGAACTGTGTGACGGATGTGATTTAGTAAGGTTAGTTGGTTGAGTTATTGGTTTGTCGTTAGTATGTTGAAGAGCAGAATGTGGTAATGCAGTAGGATGGGAACCAGTAGGATCAGATGGATTCATGTTGTAGTTGATAGATGAGTGAGATACAAGAGATTGATTTGAGTTAGAAAAAGATGAGAAGGAATATTTGCAACTATCTTTGAATAATTCAGGTCGGAGACAATGAATCCAGAAAAGCGAAATTGGTTTACGATTATTAATTAGCATACCGGTTTCTGATTGGTCAATTTCGTAACAACATGACTTAACGCCCTCACTCGGTGAGAGACCGTACGCGCGAATTTGCATAACGTGATTTGATTGGTCGAGAAAACAGTTTGATTTCAGAGTTTGAGGCACAACGACCTCTTGCGACTGGGAACATATTTTACTAGCCGAATCAAGTATATTGAATGTATTAATAAATGATAAGGCCGAATTAAAAGCCTCAATAGACTTTACAACAAAAAGTTCATCATAAATTGATGGCGCTGGAGCTGAAAAGGTTGGATGTCGAGAAAGGCAGTCCACAATGCCTAACGTAACCCCAGGCACGTGAATAACTTCAAAGTCAAAGGGTAGTAACCGGTCCGCCCAACGTGAAAGGCGCGACTGATAGGATTTGTTATTATAATTTTCGCTTAGCGCCGAAATGATGGCTTTGTGGTCGATTAATACTTGAAAACGATTTCCCAACAAATGAGTACGAAAATGTTCGCACGCCCAAACGATCGCCAACAATTCAAGTTCATTCGTACTATACTTTGATTCAGCATTATTTAGGAAGCGTGAGGCAAACGCAGTTGGAGCCCAAACCCCTTGCTCGATCTCCTGTTCCAAACATGCTCCTAACCCGTTATGACTAGCGTCACATTTTACCCGAGACTTTTTTGAAGAATCATAATGGAATAAGTTGGGAATGTTAGCCAACAGGTTTATAATACTCTTGAAGGCATTATCTTGTGCCTCCCCCCAACGGAAAGACTGTTTATTGCATGTCTTTAAAGATTCTCGAAAATGAACGGTATAGGTGTGTAGGTCAGGTAGGAATCGTTGCAAATGATTTAACGTCCCCATTAACGAGCGGAGCTGCTTTAAAGTTTTGGGGGGTTTCAGTGATCGGACCGCATCAATCTTTGAAAATTTCGGAGAGTACCCGTGCTCATTTATAACGTAACCTAACCAAGTTAGCTGGTTTACTGAGAACTCGCACTTACTGAATTTCAATGCCCAGCCTTCTGCGTCGAGTCGCTGCATCACTCTCTCGACCAATTTATTGTGATCTTGGACATCTCCCTTCGTGACTACTAGGATGTCGTCCAAGTAACAGATTACACCTTCTAATCCGAGCAAGGTACAATCCATCGCCTTTTGAAACTCAGTCGGCATGTCAGTCAACCCATAGAACCCTGTCTTAAATCGATAAGTCCCCGTAGCATCTCCACACAAAATATTGAAATTACAGTGACTGCTGGTAAATGATGACATCGGGAGCTGACTGAAGGCATATTTCAAGTCTAACGAGGTGAACCAGACGGTGCCAGGTACGTCTTTAGTGATTATTTGGGCCACCGAATCAACAAGTTCGTGAATATTTGGCATCTGGTATTTATTCTTCCACATTTGCGCGTTCATCGGTTTAGCGTTTAAGGCGAGTTTTATCGAGCCGTCCTTCTTGGCGGTTAGTACGATGGGTGCTATGAAATAATCGGTTGTACATTATCCAATTTCTCAATGTGACCTTGTTTTACCAATTGTTTGATCTCTTTAGCGACTCTATCCTGGATGTGAATTGGGACTTTACGTCCCTTCACTTGACGCGGTACCGAAGGATACTTGAAATTTGTAAACACTTTGTGGTTCTTTGATCTTCCTAATCGATTAAACACATGCGCGTATTTTTTGGCGAAGAAAGAACTCCAATAATCAGAGATAGGATCTTGGCTCTGAACTTCAAGTTGCTGTACGTGTTCGGCCCTCAGTTGGGTGGTCACTACACCCAGTTGGTCTTGCAGATCTAGATCCAACAGGTTTCTTGTTTGGTTCTCAGAGACAAGGAAACAAGCCTCTTCCATTTTCCAACTACTAGACGAGATCGGGAGACAAACTGAGCCAAGGAGGCGAATCGGTTTTTTATTGTAATCGACAGAAAGAGTGTCTATGGGGTACCGTGCCACATCTCGAAATTGGAAAGACGGGTTGCGTTGTAATATTAAATCGCAAGTACGTTTATTAATAAATGAGACCGGACTTCCAGTGTCGATAGTTGAATAGAAAAAACTCAATCCCGTACGCAGTTGGATACTAAGACTTCTTGGTTTTCCCTTGTTTGATCTGAGGAGCTCAATGCTATCTATCTGAACAGCACTTTCTAGCTGCAACACACTGTATTCAGGTTCGCTATCATAATCTGCATCTATAAAGTTGCAATCGATTGAGGGGTCTGTCAGTGCCTCACTATCATCGACCAAATTGACACTCCGTCTTGATGAATTACAACATTTGGCAAAGTGACCTCGTTTTTTGCAAAGATTGCATGTAACCTCTCGAGCGGGACAAGACTTTCTGTGTTCCAGGCTAAAAGGATTGCCACAGAAATAGCATGCTTTGTTGCTTTTGTTACTTTGTGTGTTTTGTCGATATTAGTTGTTCTGAGGAGTATTCCGCTTTCCTCTAGATGACTGTATCGAGAAAGTGGGCTCATGTTTTACCTTGATGCCGGTAACCTGGTTATGCGGGAGTAGTTTTTGGAACTGAGCCGACGTGCTAGCTCCCTTTTCACACTCCAGGGCGAGTTGAAATGTATCCTCTAAGTTTGCTTTTGCTTTAATCAATTGCTGTTGAACATCCACATCACGAATTCGTCTTATGAAAAGATCTTTCAGAGTATCCCTCTCTTGAGCACGTGGCCAATTACACAAGGCAATTTGAGCACTGAGACGAGCGTAAAATGAAGAAAAAGTATCATTTTCCAACATAAAGGTGTTATTGTACAGTTTAATGCGCTCGACAGTATAATCGCGTTCTATCTTGAATAGTACTTCGCAAGCCTGGTGAAAATCCCGATACGAGGTAACACTAATGTCCGTATGCGGGTAAGAATACGCGAAGCGTCTTTTTCCTTCGTTTCCTAGAGCGAAAAACAGCCGTGACTTCAGACGGGCTTCTGCTTCGTGATAAAACCAGTTTAGCCATATTCTAGGGCCTTTCTTTCTGCGCTCGGTATTGAAGTCATTAACACGACGAATCGCTGCCTGATCTCTGAGGAGACGTGCATCGGTCTCCGCAGCGGTTTCCGTTGCACCTACAGTCTCAGCGTTTGGAGGTGGTTCGTCTATAACCTCCACGGGTTCTGTTAAGACATCCTGCGGGTTCAGATTATCTTTCAACCCCACTGCCAGGAAGATTTGTCCAATCCAGGATTCCCAAAGAAAAGGCGGGTTAATCGAAGGTTTTGCCCAAAACGGAGGAATACCCAATAGGTCAGTCCTGTCTTCGTTCACAGGAACTGCTGGCTGCGCCATGACATTTGCCGAGATTTAGAGGACAAAACTAGGTTGTTCGTAATAGTGAATTGTTAGATTGGTTGTTTAGATTCTTGGTTATTTAGATTTAGTTAGTCAGGCTCTGACTAATAGAAATAGGTTTAACAAAAGTGTTGAATAAAGTTTACATCTAACAAGCGATGAAAAGAACATAAGAGTGAATCACACACAGTGTGTCACTCAGAAAGGCCAAACCAGTGACCTTGAGCGGACTGGTATAATAAATCTGCAGCATGGCTGCAAAAGGCAATATAACAAATGAGGTACTAAATGTCGCCTCATCACAGTCAATCAATTTTCAAAAGTGTGAAAATTGCCCCACTCTGGGAAATTCTTAAATCCTAAAATCCTGGATTGATTCGAACCAAAGTTGTGGACATTAAAACTGCTTAAAAGTTTGCAGCACATGCTTCTATTGCTCTGACAGAACAATTAAGCAGGGAAAAACTGAAAATAAATGAAGAAGTGAGAAATTGAAATATTGTGATCAAACGGACCAGCATGAAACAAAACATGTTTTTGTGCTCACAGTTGTTTTTTAAAACTTTTTGATGCAAAGAACCATCACGTTTCTTGCCATTGAATCATTGGTGAAACTAAAATGTTCGACATGGCTGCGGTCAGCTCAGTTAGACAGCCTGATATGCATCAAATCTGAATGCATTGATAATAGCTAGGACCGAAAAATTAATACCGTTGGTGACTTTCGTTTTTCTGATGAACCGAATATGTTTTGCATCGAAAATCTCAACAGAAATTAAAACTGAAGTTTGATTTACTTAGAGGCAATTTAAGGTTGTCTGGTATCCTTTCGGTTAATACTGATTCTGTTCAGTGTTTTCTGGCTATCCAAACAAAAATAAGCACATTTTAAAAATAGAACCCTTCACTAATAACTAGTCTCGCTATAAGGTTCATACCAAATTTAGAACCAAAATCCTCGGGCAAGTTTTGCATGACTCACTTGAAGTCGCCCGTGATTGCAGAAAAGCTCTGTCCAGTGGAATAGTTCAAGGTCACATTGTTCACGTCTATCTTGAGGAGGGAAAAGCCAGCTTCCTCTATGTAGTCGTGTGCGTCTTCGTCCTGCCATATTCCCTGTAAAAACACGGCTCGTTTTTCTTGTTTATTTAAAAAAAACTACTAAAAGCAACTGTTTTTTCACAACGGAAAATGAAATGTGCTCTGGATTACTGTTCATAGATTAGCAAAAAAGTGATTTTGAAGTGAGACAAAATGGGAGACAAGTAAAAATGACAGAAATTTTGAATACAAGTAGGAGCGTCAAAATCTGTCCATTTTTCCTTCTGCTCGTGAAAAAAAAAGAGATAGTTAGCCACACCATGTAGAAAAAGACACAAGCAACCTATCAAATTTGCACGAAATGTCAGAAAACATTTTAGAAGAACTGATGTATTAGAAGAGCAATTAGAAGAGCTAAAAATCAAGCTCAAAACATATAAATATTTTTGTCAACGTGGTCGAAAAAAAAACTTTTTTTCTACGACCACTTCTCTAAAATTTCGAAACTTCGAAAATTTCGAAGTTTCCCACCAAAGTGTTACTGCGATTTTTTTCTGACTTTTAGAAGAAGTGACAGAATATATATGCTCAGTGCGTTTTTTCTTCAGACCCATTTAGAGATTTTAACTAGCGTTTTTTGAATTAAACTTGGTAACTCATTTGAAAGCAATCAATAAATTGAGCTCAAAATTTAAAAAAAAAACCAATCACCTGGTATAAATTTTGCAAATTATAGGGCTTTGATAATTGCAAAATGTACCAATTCAAATCTTTATGATACATTATGAAAAAAATCACAAATTCATGCGCAAAAGTTGTTGTGAATATAAGTTGCTTAAATTTTTTTTTCAGAATCAAAGCCAAAAAATTTATTTCGTGAAACTCGGGACAAAAGTTCTACACTAAAATGGGTAGTTTGCTGCTTAAGGTCGAACAAAAATTAGCTTGAAGCTATCGAATCAATTTAGTTGTTGCCTATGCAGCCCATTGAGCCTCTTCTCAGCCCATGAAAGTTTTACAATCTTATTGGTACGACTTTTTTTCTCCTAAGAAATGGAGCGATTTTTTTTTAATTTGAAAAACCGTTATACCGTAAAAATTACGATTTGGGCCCGATTTTCCAAAAAACAACATTCTGGTAAATCTGGTAAAATTCTTGATAATTTTGGCTCCTAGACTTCCTTTTTCAATAGTTTTGTTTCTCGATTTAATTTGAGAGAACAAATTTAAATTGTCCAGATTTGTTTTTGTCCGGATAGTTTAAAGAGCACTGATATCGTTTCATTAACGCGTAAGCGGCAAAATTATCCGGCTCAGAAGTCAATTCTAACCTTAAATGAAGCAAACTACTTTGTCTTATTATCATGATGCATTATGCAAAGCTTTGAGAGGGAAGCTAGTGAAGGAAGCATTTTTTCAAGAATGGGCTTAAGTTTTTGCCAAATTATTCTACGAATAGTTCTTATCGATAAACCATTTCATTTAGAACGTACGTTCTGTACGTTAGAAACCTGTAAAACAAATTAGCTTTTTACATATGAATCGGAGTCAAAACCTTTCCAAATGTAGGCAAGCTCTTTCCCCTTTCAAAAAATTTTCCAGTTTTTTTTTAACAATTGCGGGTTCTTAGAGCATAAAATTTTACATTAGTGCGTGACAAATGCGGCGAGAAATTTGGCAAGGATTGGGAGTCAAGGATTTTTTATTGTCTGAAAATGCATCAACAGGCAAGTCAGAACAATCAATATTTTGCTCTACTACTAACACTTTTGATATCTTTCCCCATTTTTGGAAGAAAGGAACAGACTACGACTTCTAGTCACCGTTCATTATCTGTCTTTTTTTTAAAAGCGAATTTTATCATGTAAAAAATGATACCAGCTGTAAAACAAGATGACCTTCAATGGATGGATAATCAAAAATTGTCCATTAAATTGCTCAGACATAAAAGTGTGGATATCAACTGTTTAGATACTAAGGATTTTTATTTGATAAAGTCTCAGTTTAGCTCTTTAAAAATTTTTTCTGATTTTCTGAACGCGCAAACTCCTTTTTGATTTTTTTACAATGCTATTTTACAAGCACTCAGGGGCGGATTTGGTGTTTATAAAACGATTATCAATGCCTACTATTTTGAAATTCTGTTTTCAAAATAGTTTAATCTTTAAAGTGGCTGCCTCATTCTCTCAGAGATTTGAAAAAACAGGCCAAAGGGTTCCCTCTTTGGACTATTTTGAGATATCCATTTTTGGCTGACAGACCCTAAAATTTTTATAAATCGCCTTCGGCGTTAGAATATACTAATTTTTGAGAAACGCGCGCCGAAATAACGCAATTTTTTGGTCAAAATTTTCCAAAAAGTGACTAAAAACGCTTTTTTGGCCTGTTTTTTCAAAATGTTCCACAAAGCATCCGATAAAAGATATACGGACCTCTTTTATTATCGGAATAATTCAGGGAAAGACTCTGATTTTGATTTCCCAGAAGCAAAAACGAACACCAGCTATCCAACGCCTTCATGAACTGCAAAAACATTTAACATAAACTACAAGAAACAATCATTAACACCCACCCTATGCTTCACGACGATATACTTGAATGCGCAGCAGAAAAGCCTCACTTAAAAGGCGAGCTTTATAGCGGGCTCACGACATTAAAAACTAAAACAACAGTGAAGAAAACATAATGAAATGAGCGTAGCATTATATCATGAAGTTTTTAAACAACAACTTAAAAATGAAGCTACCCGGGCTGAGATTCATAGGATTATACACTTCATGGGTCGATCGGAACATTCAAAATTTTACCCAATCATAACTAACCCAATCAGAACGAACATCTCCATGGTTAGTTATTTTTGGTCAAAATAGTAATAGCTTTTATAGGCAATGCCTTTGAGGCCGAATGTAATGGAATAATTTAACGTAAGGGATACTTTGTCGAAACCACAGAATCATGCAATCACATAATTGTCATGATGTCATGATATGTGTCCATATTTTTAGGGACGGAAAACAAAATTCAACTATTTCAATGACCTCTGATCCATAAATGGATTTTATTGGTAGAATCTGAGTGAAAATCTCAATCCGGGCAAGTTAACAAAAATGAATGCGAGTTAAATGCAGAGTAATTTTGATAAAAAAGATTGTCTGCTATGATCCAGATTAGGTTCAGCGGATTAAATGATAGAGATGGCGTGTTGGTTGACTTGAAAATGAGTGCTGATAGAAGGCATTTATGGCTGAAATGCCGTCCCGAAATCCAAAGCCTCGACTAGCCGAGTAACTCACCAAACCGAAACGTGCTTCCTTATTTACATGTAAAACATTTTCATAATAAGATGATAAAAACGTGTACATTTTATTATTATAATCATAGCTTTTTCAAGAAAAAAATTAAGATGCATTGTTTTATTAATAGAAGTTATTTTGGTTCGACAAGTCGTCGGCTGGCTGTTCGGCTCAAATAGCATTACCGTCAGAGTGTTCTTTATACCTTAAAGCGTGGCTCCGACCCACGTGCTGAAGGAGGCTATAATACGTATAAGTGGTAATTGACAAGTTTTTGAAGAATTGGACGATTTTTTTTGTGATTAAGTTCCCACTTGATATCATTTCACCCATCAGCACGTGAATCTGTGCAATAAACTCCAATTGGTTGTCCAGATTTTGACCCGATGATAACCAAAATTAAAGTATGATTCAGAGTCAATTTTTCAAGAAAAATTTCAATATTGGGTCTAACAAAGCGGCGCTGAGAAGTATAGGGTGCAAAGAGCTCTATCTCTATCTGGCAGCATTTGTTGTTGATGATTTTACGCAATGAGTTATTCTCGATCTCCGCGGTAAGTTTTGAGCAGCTTCTATATCTACGTGAAATCCGTAAACAAAAAATAAGGGTGAAATGATATACGGTTGAGGGTTGCATTTACCCCACGTCAAAATATCCCATCTGTCTTTGTATCATCAAAAACAATTGTTACTTTTCTGAAAGCAGGTGACGTCCTTAATTTAATCAGATTGTTGAGATTGTTTCGTAGGTCATGCTCAACAGGAAAATCGTCTGCTTTTGCTTAATTAATTTGTGACAAATCTTAAAAAAGATTTTGCATATGGATTTAGGATTAAAATGACCATGGGTTAAAATGGGATAAGGTAATTACTAACTCGTCGATAGATAGATGACCATAACAGAATAGAGCTACAAACAAAAACGAAGCATGAATAATTGAATAAATAAAAGAACTAAAAACATATATTTTTGTTTGTTTCGGACTTAATTTTAAAAAATTATTATCAAAAGCTAAAGGTTTTTTTTAATGTCGCATGCAGATAAAATAAAAAAAAATCTAAAGAGAGAGAGAGAGAGAAATAGAGAGAGAGAAAGAGAGCTTAGGCTTCTGTATTTTACACAAGGGTTTGCACCCATCACTTGACGGCTGAGCTGACTTTCTGCAACGGGTTGCACTGTCCACATTTGCATATAAACCCAGGAACATAATCGACTTCTGAGTAATTTTTGTAGAAGCAATTAAAGTATAATTTCTTAGGTATGATTTTAAAATTTGTTCGAGGTCGATATTTCCTTTTTTCTTATTATATTCAATAATTGACTGGTTCTTTTCCAAAAATTTTCGTCAGCCTTTCTTGTTCGAGTTTTTGTTATCGATGTTAGATCTTTTTGATTTGTTAATAAAAGATCGTCATTGGATTTCGTATTCGTGAACAAGGGTTGCCGGTTGCTGCGCTAGTAGCACTGATTGTTCTTTCTTCAACTTTCTTCAATTTGAATACAAATAATTTTCTGTCATGGCAAAAAAAAAATCCTTAAGTTTCTAAAAAATTTTGCAATTAAGAGATATGATGCCTTTTAATCAGCTAAGCAACATTAAAAAAACATGTATTCCCTATATCTTAAAGATAACACCGATGTAATAGATGTGCTTTTTTTATTTCGCACGGTTCAAGTCCGATGCTATCCCTCAACTTCTTACTTAGTTTTTTCAGGACCATGCCTCGATAAACAGTATAGTTTTTTGCATCATCTTTGCTGACTTGGTCTGAGGAAGCAGTTTCAATAATTAATTGTATAGTTTTTTGCGTGATCTTTGCTGACTTGGTCCGAAGAAGCAGTTTCAATAATTAATTGTATATCTATAACTATCTCCTAAATAAATATATAAATTAGTCTCGTTTTTTGTGCGAGGTGCGATGAGAAAATTATTCATACGCGTAGAAAGTTAATGAATTAGGCAAATTCGGCAATAATTATCCCTCTTAGAAAATTTTATTGCCAAAAAAGCGCTAATTGAAGCTCCCAAAACCATTTTTTTTTAGCTCAATTGACTAAATTTTATATTAGGAACTTTACTCAATTGCTTCACTTGCTCGAATTTAGACTAAAACTCAAAAACTTCAAATCTTTTTTAACGACAGTGGAGCAACTTTTCGATGTTGTTCGAATCACGACTGGAAGGGCTTTCACATGATATGTTACTCGTTTCATTCCGATGATTTTTTGTGGTACTGTTAAAATTTAGCTCTGCTGGAGTGAGGGTGGGTGAGTCTGTCTCTGTGTATAGGGGAAGGGCTGGGTGGGGGTACCTGAAGGTTCCACTCGTAGACGAGTTCTCTGGTGGTGAAGGCGTAGCTGGACATCATGAGTTTGCACGTGGTGATGTCGAAGGGAAACATGCGCACATCTGGCTTGCACGGGATTACAATCCTCACCTGGAAACGAACACACAGCAGGAATAACGTTTGCATCTCAATCTACCATGCGGACTTATCAATTGTAAATAGAATGTTTCTGAACAACGAAATTGATATTTTCAAATGTTCCAACCACGGATATAATTGCTTAAAAGTGAACTATAGTAAAAGTCATTTTTTTGAAGAGAGAGGGGTCATGGTTCAAAATGGAATGGGGGATTGTCAGAAGGTTTGAACATGAATGGTATCATATATGTCATTGAAAACATTTATTTCAAACAACTGGTAGAGACAATTGTTTGAAATTAAAAACCATGGTTTTTGTCACTTAAGTTCGGTTACGATTACATCCCAAAAACTGTGAGAAACTGAATTTTAAAAAAATCATTTTTTTTGGTTTATGGAAAAATCAGTAGCGTGCCGAGGGGGCAGGGGGGGAGGGGGCGACCATTTCCCTCCTCAATTCGGTTGCCAAATTTTTCCAAAGGGCACCTTGGTATAACTTTATGACATCCATTTTTCGCTGAACAACCTCAAAATTTTTCTGAAGGCGCCTTTGGCGCCAATATAAATAAGTTTGAGGGGGGAGCGCGCGCCGAAAAAAGCGTAGTTTTTTTTTGGTGAAAATAGGGTTCTTATACTATTTTGGGAGAGCTCGGAAAATCAAATTGGTCAACCTTAAAAAATAATTTTAAAAAAAAGTCGGCAAAATTTTAAAAAAATTTCTGCGCACGCCAATGGGAAAAATGCTATTCATACAATTTCCATATATGAAAAATCACTAATCACAGACCTTTCATGCAATTTTCTGTACTTATGGAATTGCATGAAAAATGTATGATGAGTATGAAAATTGTATGAAAATTGTATGACTAGCATTTTTGGTCAACCCGGGCACTCACTCACTCTCTTAGCGGTTTTTTTTTCAATGGCTTTCATCTTATTTCACAGAGCTCGAAAATTGAATTGTAGTCGAAAAACAATTAACTAATTGTCGCAATGTACATGTATGTCATTAATCAGGTTTCATGTTTAGGTTGCATCTCTCAGGTTTCATACTCAGTCATTCTGTAAATGGAATGCAACGATCCATTAAAGGTCATTTCATTCAAGTATGGGTGCTTGTTTGCTGCGCTTTACTTGCTTTTAAATTATTTTCATTGCCCGTTAACTATTCCTAATTTTCAGCTTTTTGGGACAAAAGGGCGATGTTTCGAGGCCCACCTTAATCCGTGCATGTGTTTGCTTTGGTGAGTTGCTCATCATGTTACTAAATAAATGCACGCAGGCTGTGGGACTCCAGAGCAGTATTAGATCTGAACAGCTAGTATGTTAGCCCTTTATCTTGTGGATCAGTAGTGCAAAAATTGTTGCGCATATTGTTAAGAAAACAAGGAAAAATTTCAAATAGGCGCTTTTTGCGCGTTTGCTACCTAAATTTTAAGGCAACGTTTTAGATAGTAAGTGTGAACTGATAAAACTGAACTGTATTTTTTACGCTCCATAAATTGAGATTTCCATACGTGGAACCGTATAGATATACTCAAAGACCACCATTAACTACTTGTGCATACTAAAGGGACGTTCGGGGCGGTGACTTAGAAAAGTTGAAAATACTTGAGAAAAATCTGTCGAAGATGAACAGAGAAATTGAGGTATCAATTTCAGGGTCTTATGCACTAAACAGCCCAAAATCATTTTTTCTACATCTCTTGAACTGAAATTATTGTGGTTGAATTTGATTGGCTAATTAGCCAATCAAGTCTCATCGACATTTTCTGCCATTTCAAATGAAATAATTCTGCCGTTTCAAGCAGATAAAATTATTAACCGAATTATTAATTTGAACTTTTTGTCAAGCCATTTTATTAAGTTTTCCTTGTCTGGGCAAGGTTTTACAAGTAACTCAAAATTAATTTGATTATTTTACAAAGTTCCATCTTTTCGGAAATTTCGGCTAATATTTTTATCTGCTGGAAAGGTTGATCGGATTGCCTGACAGTTTAACTTGACTTTGATTGGCTGAAATCACCCAATCAAATTCGATCGCATAACTTCCAGCTTACGATGTAGAAAATTTGATTTTGGGCCGTTTAGTGCATAAGACCCCAATTTCATAACGCAGTTTTTTCAAGGTGTTCGCATTAAAATGGTTGCAGCAAAGATAACTAATTATGCATTTACTGTTTTTTATTATATGGTGAAATTCAGAAAATAAAATAGTGACAAATTTAATGATCTATTTTGGCAATGCGCACCATGAGACCTTAACCATGAGACCTTAAGAGTTTTACTGATTTTAATCATAGTTTTTTTTAAAAAGATCTAGACAGCAGATAAAAAAACAAATTAGGTTCTTGCGTTCGTGATATAATAAAATTTGAACAAGAGTTCCCTTTTATTTATGGTTTTAATTATTTTCTTCTTTAATTTTCATGGTCGTGGAACAAGTTTGTTTAAATTGTATGCTGCATCTGATTGCAAAATAAAAAAAAAACTCGTTCATTGTCTATGTTCCTTCAAAAAATGCATTCATAAGAGTACTCATTAATGCACGTGTAAACTACAGAAATCCATGGCACTGGCACACGCAGGTTGTCTGGTAAGCTATAGGGTGAAAAGTTGTTATTTTCTGAGGTGTCTTCAGAGCCAACAATCAAGAGTTTTACCAATTTTTCTCACGAATATTCAAAAACAATACTTTTCAGCTATTTTTTTTCGATTTTATTTTTCTAAAATATCCCTTATGCAATTCTAAATACCAAGGATAAAATTTTCGACTATGATCGAATTGATGAAACCAAATAGCCTGCCTTAACCCAATTTGCAATTAGTTTTGAGCCGAATTTATTCACCGCTTACGCTTTTATAGACCAACATATAGCGTGTTAATTGTCCCAAATCAGTCAAATTGGCAATTTTTAAAGCCCCATAACTTAATAAAAAAGGTCGCAGGTGAAATATTATTTCAATTCATAGATCAAAGCATCAAAAAAATTCTGGTTTTAGAAACAAATGCCTTCAAAAATGGCTAGTTAGAAAACTGATTTAGGTCTAAAAAAACCACACCGAGCACAAATACCCAGTCAAGTTCATTGAAAAACGAAAGAAAAGGAAAAACTTACAAGCTCGCTAAACTTATCAGTACTTGTCGAATCACTGTAAATTTTAAGCGCTCTAATTGCCATTTAACTTACCTCAAACAGGTTTTGATTAAAATTTATAAAACAGTTACAACTACGTTTTTATTGTATAAAAAGACCAACTACGTCAAAAAATAAAACAAAAAGTGGTGTATCTTGCATTGATCTTTAAAATTGCAATGCAAAATCAATTAGCTTTGCAGTTTTATTTGTCACTTGCCCGTTCTGGAGTCAGTCTAATACATGGAAATAAAGCGTGACCTAAAAAGAAAAAAATTATCTTTGAGACAACTAAAAGAAAACAGTATGAATAAAGATAACAATACCAGTCTTCACATCCATACGGTCAGTCACATATCAAGCAGGGCTAACCGTACATAAAAGATGAGAAAACCACTTGTATACTTCCCAGGCTAGAAAAAAAAGAAAACATTCTATCATAATTTTTTCAAACAAAACAAATTGAAAAAACCTAAGTGAGAATTGAGGAACAAACAATGGTGTTCTTGGCGATATAAGATATTGTGGAAATATCTTCATGAATTTGATCAAAACGCGGTAGCAATGAAGTTACGCTTCGCTGACAATAAAAGACTCTTACTAGCTCTATTGCGAAGCTTAAAGTTTTCGAACTTCAGAAGTACGGCCTCACTCAAAGACTGATACTTGGCAAAACAAGCATCAAAATCATCAAAAAAGCTTGATGTTTTTAGCTGTAAACAATTTTGTAAGCCAACATAGTTTATATTCAACAAACGTTAACTGACAAGATATCGACATTTTTTGTGCGAGTAGGAGATATTTAGGCAGTTTACAAGAATAACAAGACTGCTCGTATATCAAGGCAATGCTTTGAATGTTCCGACGGCCTCTTAATTAAAAAATGTTTGCAAGTTTTTCTGAAGAAAAATAATCAAAAACGATTCAGCAAAAATTAACAAGCCAGACTTTGGCATTTTTCCGTGCGACGAGAAGATAATTAGATAAACTCACAAATTAACATGACTGCTTGTATATATATCAAAGCAATGCTTTGAATGTTCTGACGGCCTCATAATTAGAAAAAATTATTCGCTGAAGAAAATTTTCTGAAGGCAAATAAGCAAGAAAAGAACGGAAAACTTTTCCCTCTTTGTCTTTTTTATCCCACCGCACGCAATCTCTAAGCAAAAGAGATTCAATTATTTTCTCGTGCAGTGATAAGACCAAATTACAGTCCTAATTTCAATTGTGATTGATTTATTTGCTGCTTATGCGGGTGATATAAGAATGCAAACTGTCGACAGTTTTTTATACTAAGTTTGCCAAATTAAAAATATTCAAACCCTCATTTTTTTCAAAATTCATCAAAAATGAACTTTTTTAAAATTTATGTTAAGCTTAACACATTTTTATTTTTCAATACCTTAAAAAAATTAAATTAAAAAAGCTTACTCAAGAAATCGAAAGCACAAATAACAATTTGAACATATTTAACTAAAGCTAACAATAAAGCTAACAACAAGAATTTGCACAAATAAGAGTTTGAAAAAATTCAACAAAAATTAACAAGCTGCAGTAAACATGTTGTGTGTTTTATCTCTTGTCAAAATTTGGCAGTTTTCAGTAAGACAAGAAGATAATTAGATAAATTCAAAAAAATCCTTTTTCTTGTATTGTTATAATAAGACCAAATTACAGGCCTATTTTCTATTGTGATTGATTTAACTTGCTGTTTACGCGTGTAATAAGAATGCAAACTATCGAGCGTTTATTATCCCAAGTTGGCCAAATTAGAAATATTCTTTTCCTCAATCAATTTTTTCTACAAATTTCATCAGAAGTGAATCTTTTTTCATTTTAAAATAAGCTCAAAACTATTTTGTTGTTCAAATA